CCGTCCTTGACTAGATAAGCCCAACCCAAATGGAAAGGTAATGGTAGGGGAGAAAAAAAAACCTATATTGCTCATCTTGAATATTTTAATTTTTACTGTGAGCAAAATCCTTTAAAAATAGTTCTCCTATTTCCAGGAATTTGTTCGTGTTTTTCAAAGCAAAGCAAAACGAAGGTGTTTGGCTGCCAGGTCTGCTATGCCCTCATAAAGGGCACAGAGAAATTCAGAGCAGTCAAACAACCCAGGCATATGAAACGAATTAAGGATTCCTTTAAACAGGATTAAGCCACTGCTGCACATTTACACAAATGCATCTTTTAAAGTCAGGACTGTCTAGGGACGTGCATGTGGGGCCCCACGTGTCCCTTCCCCCTTCTACACAGGCTCCCCAGGCTGCTGTAGAGGACAGAGAATTAGAGGACCTGGGTGAGAATCCCTGCTCTGTTCTTTGCTATCTTAGTGACCCTGGGCAAGTCACTTCCCTTCAGTAGGCTTTGGATTCCGTTTCTGAAAAACTAAAGGGCTTGGGCTAGACCCCCTGTAGGTCTCCTTCCAGCTCAAAGTCTCTGACATTGGGACCTTGCACCTTCTTTTCCCTTTTAAGGCTGGCTTTAATGTTCATTTGAAAATTATTTCTCCAGAAATTCCTCCACTATAGCAGCTAGTGTGTTGGTACACCAAATGGAACTTGACTCAGAGGATGTGGGTTCAAATCCTGCCTCTGACACTTCTTAGTGGGGTGACCATGGATAAACTAGTTCATAAAAATGTGGATGTTAGGGATGATCCAGCCCAATTCCCTCATTTTTCAGATGAGGAAACTGATGTCTAGGGAAGTTAAATGACTCAATCAGGTCACTCAATGAGAAAATGTTGGATTTTTAACCCAGGTCTTCTGACTACAAATTCTGCATTCTATATCAAGTTCCTCTCCCTAAGCCTCAGTTTCCTCATCTGTAAAATGAGGAGGTCAGGCTAGGTGGCATCTGAGGTCCCATCCAGCTTTGAATCTAAGATGTGATGAGTAAAAAGTCTGAGGCTATGAAGACCACTGGGGTCAACCCCATAACCTCCCAGGGTTGGTCCTGAGCCCCCAACTCCCCTGGGCACAGCCCAGGGCGTAGTGACTACTGGCACTTTGGCCTTTCTTCTTTTTTGCAGGCAATCAGGGTTAAGTGACTTGCCCAGGTTCACACAGCTAATAAGTATCTGAGGCTAGATTTGAACTCAGGTCCTCCTGCCTCCAGACCCAGTGCTCTATCCACTGCACCACCTAGCCACCTCCCTTTGGCCCTGCTTTCAAATATTCCTTTTGACGATCACAAACCTTCCTTCCTAAATGCTTTGATGCAGTGTCTTGACCAAGGAATCTTGAGAGGGCCTGCGATCTGTGATCAATAGTCAGACACCAACCTCCACAGAGAGATGGCTCGTTCTCTGACTGTCTCTTTGTTTCTGTCTCTCCCTCCCCCTCCTCCTTCCCTCCCTCCCCCTTCTCTCTTTCTCTTCACATAAAGACTCTTCCTATCCCCCTCTTTCTGTAATGAATAATCTCAGGCTGCCTGAAAAAGTTTCACTGCCCTCTCTGGACCAGCCAGTAGCTCCAAGGTGTTTCTAGAAGGTGCTCTAAAGAGACAGACTAACCATGACAATCATAATTCATATTTCAATAATCCTCCACGTACTTTTCTTACAACCTTAAAGGTAAAAGCATCACAAAGGAGATTTACACTGGGCATTAAGGTTGGCAAAGCGCTTCCTGCACGTTAGTTCAGTGAGCCGAGGGTCATTATCTTCCCCATTTCTCAGTGCAGTAGACTGCTGCTGGATCTGAGGGTCACAAGACCTGTGTTCAAATCCTGCCCTTGCCACTTACTACTTGTGTGACCCTGGACATCTTTCTGGGCCTCAGTTTCCTCATCTGTAAAACGAGAGAGTTGGGCTAGACAGCCCCTCAGGTGTCTCTGAGCTAAAAATCTATGATCTTATGAAACAGTGAAAGGAAGGGATTTGCTCTGTGTCACATAGTCTGAGGTGGAATCTGAACTCAGGTTTTCCCGTTGCCAAGCTCAGCACTCTATCCTTCACCCCACCTTGTGTCTCAAAGTATTTTTCTCTCAACAGCCTTGTGAAGTAGGGACAGTAATGTTATTTCCCTAAGAACAGCTCTTTCTTGAGTAGGAAAAATAAAGGAATATGTCTGTGGTCTAATCAATCAAAAGGCCTCCCTCCCCCAGACTCAAAAGTCAGAAACCCCTATTAACACTTTTTTTCTTTAAAAAAAAATATTGATTGGGGCAGCTAGGTGGCGCAGTGGATAGAGATCCAGGCTTGGAGTCAGGAGGACCTGAGTTCAAATTTGACCTCAGACACTTGACACTGACTAGCTGTGTGACCTTGGGCAAGTCATTTAACTCTGATTGCCAAACAAAAACAAAAACAAAAAAACAAAAAAATATTGATCCTCTTCCACTTTGTCAGAGTAATGAACTTGGAGTCAGGAAGACCAGAGTTCACCTTCAATCTCAGATGCTAGCTGAGTGACTCTGGGAAAGTCACTTAACTACTCTCTGCCTCAGTTTCCTTATCTGTAAAATGGGGACATTAACAGCACCCACTTCCCCAGGTTGTAGTGAGGACTAAATAAGATAACACATGTACATATATGCATGTTATATATAATACATATATACTCATCAGAACATATAAACACATCAAAACATATGTACATAACAAGGTACGCTTTATAAACCTTGAAGGGCAATATGAATGCTGGTTATTATTATTATTCATTTCCCAATATAGCCTTCCTCTCTCCCCCACCCAGCGATCTCTTCTTTATAACAAAAGATAAAAAAGAAAACTAGCCAACCCATCAGCTGTGTGAAATCTACCCAGCCTTCCGCACTCAGAGGCGTCCCCCTGCCGGAGCAAGGAAAGAGGCCCCTTCTCATATCACTTCTTCTGATTCCATTTCATTAATTAGTTGGAGAGTTTCTTTTGTGGTAAAGTGAGGACTAACATTCAAATGCACTGACATTTTAAAACATTTTTAAGAGGAAGGGCCCTTAAAAAAAGAAAAACCAACAAGAGATATTTTCCTTTGCTCTACATAGAGAAGAGATGGAAAAATGGGCCAACACATGTCTGAAGACCCAGCGTGATTAAGGGACCTGGAGATTTTAGGTGGCCATAAGACAATAAAGTGCTCATCATCAGACATCTGCCAGGGTGGAGGTGCTCCGAGGTAAAACCCCCCTAAATCTGAAGCCATTAGGGACTTTAGACCAGTTTATCTTGATCTTTTTTTTTTCTTTTTAAGAGGTGACAACCTCATAAACCCATAATCTCTTCTTGAGGATGATGCAAGGCTTTAGTACGAAAAGAGAAAAACAAGGCCTCCCCCTCCTTCTCCTTCTCTCCCTGCTCCCCTACCCGCCCCCGCCTACCTCCCTCTTTCTCCTTCCTCTTCTCTCTCTCTCTCTCCCCGCCTTTGCCCACTTCCTTCTTTCTCCTTCTCTCTCTCTCCCCTCTTGCCCTCCTCACCTTCTCTCTTTCTCCATTGCTTACTTCCCTCTTTCCCTTTCTCCTCTCTCCTTCCCTTCCTCTCTCTCTCTCTCTTTCTCTCCACCCTTGCCCACTTCTTTCTTTCTCCTTCTCTCTCTCTCCCTTCTTGCCCCCTCACCTTCTCTCTCTCTCACCTGCTTCCCTCTTTCTCTTTCTCTCTCCTTCCCTTCCCCCACCTCTCTCTCTCCCTTGCCTACCTTCCTCTTTCTCCTTTTCTCTCTTGCTCTCCCTTGCCTACCTTCCTCTTTCTCATTTGCTCTCTCTGTCCTTCTCTCTCTCTCTCTCTCTCCCCGCCCTTGCCCACTTCCTTCTTTCTCCTTCTCTCTCTCTCCCCTCTTGCCCTCCTCACCTTCTCTCTTTCTCCATTGCTTACTTCCCTCTTTCCCTTTCTCCTCTCTCCTTCCCTTCCTCTCTCTCTCTTTCTCTCCACCCTTGCCCACTTCCTTCTTTCTCCTTCTCTCTCTCTCCCTTCTT